ACGATGAGGATGCACGGGCCTCGGACGGCCGTTTCGAAGCTGCTCGAGCGGGGCGCGGCCAACGAAAGTGGCCAAGGATGGAGGCAAGGATGCCAGGGTACCCTTGGGAAGGCTGCCCAACCTTACTCCAGATGTCGTAACAAAAGGGAGGGGGTCTGGACCCTCCAAGACAAGCCATTTCAGACCTCCCCCGTGGGAGAACCCTCCAAAACATCGTCCCCAGACCCCCCGACCCCCCCAGGCCCTCCAAGATAGCCTGGAGGAGACCCCCCCCGAAATGAGACCCCCCTCCCTTTGTTACGAAATCTGGAGTACCATGCGGGTCGACTGTATTGCACTGAGAGCGCCCTTACGAGGTCCGACGCAGCCAGCGATGGACGAGATAGGACTCCGAGACGGTCTCCGAGAGAGGGCGCCGCACCGCCCCAGGGCGCCCGGAGAGCCGGCCCAAGAGAGAGAGCCAAGATGGCCCAAGCTTGCTCTGAGAGGCCCCGAGCAGAAGGCCCCTCCCCAGACTCGGCGGCGAGCTTCCCAGCAGGCCCCTCCCCAGACTCGGGGGGAAGTGAGACGGAGAAGACCTTCCCAGAAGGTTCGGAAGTCCCCCCGCCTTCTAAGAAGCTTTCTAAGCCTTCCCCGACGACAGAACCACCAACTTCTTAAAAGGCGCGAGGGCTTTGAGAAGTCCCGCCGCCTTCTGAGAAGCCTTCTCCTTCTCATGTTCCCCCCTCGAATGCCGCCGACGAGTGATCGCCCAGCGGTTTCCTCAGCAGCTGAGGGGAACACGCAGTCCACTAGCGTGGCCGCACGACGTTTCACAACACAAGCGTTTCCAAAAGGCGGGGGGCGGCGGTACTGGTAGCGTCTGCGCTTACCTGTCTGGCAACGGCTGCGGGTTGACCTGACGAGGCGCAGAGAGGCGCGATTTCACCAGCACGCACAGTTGTACTCCCACGATACCTCAAAGCTCACCACTCAGTATCCTTTAAACGATCCCCATCCCCAGCCCCATCTCCTTTGAGACCCCCACCAAATTACCACCCCAATTGGGGATACAACCCTCGAAACCCGAAGGGAACGACCCATGTCCCCATCTGGGGGGGGGAAATCGGCCAGTGGGGCCCAGGCCACGCCGCTGGGGATGGGGATCGGTTAAACGACAGTCAACCACCGCTCTAAGTACCAGCGGCGCCTGTGACCCATGCCGCCGTGGCGCCAAATCGCGGAGAACGTCAGTGCACATCACGCGGGGGATCCACCAGCGCGCCGAAGGCTCCAGGGATGGCCCTCGGGACACCGAGCTCGGCGCCAGGGGTTATTGAAGGGGCCCTGGGACACACCAGTAAATACACACAAATCACAGGATTCCCCATACTTTCATATAATTTCGGGGTTTCGTCTTCCCCCCACTTGGGAATCGATTCGGGGTTTCGGGGTTTCGTCCATATTTTCTGGGAATCGACGATGAATTGTTGTGTCTGTGTGTTTTGTCCCCTCCTGCGTTATGTTGTTCCCATCGTGCTTCAAGTCCACATCCCAGGAATAATTTCGAGCACCCAGACGAGTATCGAAATAGTGTCGAACGACTCTCGCCTCCCAAGGCCCGACACGTGAAAACCGCCCCGTTCCCGTATTTTCTCGGTGCTCGAAGTTCTTTCTGGCTGTCCAGACTAAATTAGGTTGGAACATCATAACGCGAAGGGGGGGCATTGAGATCGCGACGGGGCCGGTGCAGCCACGTAGGGCTCCACAACCAACAAGGCGCACCCTGGGCGCGGCCCTCGACCCGCACGATCCTGAGGGGGAGCGATACGGAGTGACCGGCTCAGGAGGGGAAACATCGACCTGGAATCGGCGATGCATCGCCGATGGACAGGCGTCAGCCGCCCGATGGCGAGGCGTGGGCGCTTGGGGATCGATGCGTCATCCCCCCCCTTAGAGCCCATCTCCCACAGAGCGCTGCCACTGGCCGGCGCGTCCAGACCAGGGAAGGGGCCAAAGGGGAGGGGCCGGAGGCTTGCCACCGCTGGGGTGTCCATTCCCCGTGCACGTTCCGGGCTCGCGCATGTCTTCGTCGCAAGAGGACGGGAAATGCTCCTCCACCCCAGAGCCCCAGCGTCATGATTTTTTCGTGACGTCGACCCCCAGAGGTCTGGACCCCTTCCCCGGGTCCGGTTTATCGAGGAAAAGAGGCACACGTCCGAGCCATGGCAGGGAGGACGACGGCGGGGAGGGGGCACGCCTTAGGGCGGGAGCCGGGGCAGCGGGGCTGGGGGGGGGGCCGGGGGGCGCCGGCCGAGGACCGATGCTGGCCCCGCCGCTCCTGGGCCCGGGACGTCGGTGCATCCTCCTCCTCCTCCTCCTCCACCTCCTCCTCCTCCTCCTCCTCTTCCTCCTCCTCCTCCTCCTCCTGCGCCGCTCCGACGACGTACGCGAAGTAACGGTGAGCGTTTTCATAGTCGTCGTTTCGGCTTTGGGCGGGAAGGGGGGGGGAGGGGTCTGGCTCTGGACCTCTGCTTAGTGCGACTGTTTGAATTAGTGCGTCCTATGAGGAAGACTCCGCCTGCTCGAAGCAGGCGCCAACATGATCGACCCACCCACGAACCCGGAAAGGAACATATACATGTAAGGCATGGCAACGTTTCAAAGACACCTGATTGGGCGACGGGCAAGCGCAATGGTGAGTGTATCGATCTTGATGTACCGTACCGAGGGTTGTGCTGTGCTGCGCCGTGCTGAATTGCGGTATGCAATGCCGCGGCTGTGCTCTATAGCGTTGGGGATCGAGTCCTCCTTTGCATCCGAGTCCTGACCGAACTGATCTGGATCTGAAGCTCGAGCTGCCTCAGCACATAATAGCTGCCCCAGAGCTAATTGATAAGGGAACATGCCATGAAGGCGCCGCGGAACGTCCCAAGGGACGCGCATGGCGACGTGCCAAGCGACGTGCCAGGGGACGTGCCAGGGGACGTGCCACGGGGACGCACCGCGGGACGTGCCGGGGGGACGCGCTACGGAACGTGCCAATGGACGCGCCACGGGACGCGCTCCCAGGTCCACGATCCCTCGTAAATTACGCTGCGTCCGCGCTCCCAGGGCCACGATCCCTTGTAAATTACATTGGGGTCGCGTTCCCAGGGCCCCGACCCCTTGTAAATTACACTGCGTCCGCCCCCAGGGCCCCGATCCCTCGTAGATTACGCCGCGTCCGCGCTCCCAGGGCCTCCTGGGGCATGCTGGAGCGCCCAGGTCCCTCAAGTTTTGCAAAACAAGCGTTTCGCTCAAGACATCCTCGATGTTTTGGCGCAGGGGGCGCACCATCCTCGAATGGGCACGCAAAAACTCAACATTTTCACGCTTTCCGCGCCGCGTTGGACTTTACTTCGTTGTTGCATCGCGGAAAACAAAGGTCCGCGGACCCCGGTATTAATCGAAGATCCAAGTTGGGGGGTCTCCATTCCTCGAGCGGGCACGCGCGAAACGCATTTATTTCACGCCGAATTGGATTTCACCTCGTTTTTATCGAGCGGAAATACCGCCGGCCCTACAGAAACTGGCACCGGGGGGGAATTACACTAGCAACAGAAAATCCTGGGACGGAGCCCTTTCCGGGAAAAAACAAACGGCCAGGATCTACTCCATGGGGGGGGGAGAGAAAGGGGGGGCGAGGGCCTGCGCCGATCTGCAAAGCATTCCATACAAAAAAAAAAACTATCACATGGGGGACGGGGGGGGGTTGAAGGGTGCCCTTTGAGGACCCTGCAGGCCCCCAAGGGCCCCTATAAGGGGCCCTGAAAGTGCCTTTTGAGGACCCTACAGGCTCCATTCTGGGCCCTAAAGGGCCCCTCTAAGGGGGCCCGAAAGGGCCCCTCTTCTGAAGCCCTCGCTGCCTCCCGGTCCTTCGCCCCCCTCACGAGTCCTCCGACGACGATGTGCTCCTTCCCATCCCGGCGGCTGTCCTCGATTACGACACCTGGGGCCCGTCATCGGGCCCGTGGACAATCAACGATCAAAACACTTGTTTCTGGAAGTCGGAGCGGGGCGTGGCATACAGAGGTGTGGTGCCAGTGCTGAGTCCAGCGATGCCATCTATCACCGGTAGCATCTCGATTTCCACGACTGGCACAGTACCCCTTTATGCCACACACCTTTGCTCGGGGGCGGCCAAGAGGGGGGCGTCCAAGAGGGGGGGGCGCAAATCATGGCCGGCGGCATGTGCGCGGCCCAGGGGGGGCCCAGGGACGTAATGAAAGAAGAATAGGCGCCATGAGATCTGAGGAACTCTCATGGCCCACGCCATGATATCCCCCCCCCTGGTCATCACCCCCCTCTCTTTGCCGCCCCCGAAATTTTCTACCTCCAGATTTTTGTCTGGGGCGACCAGCCTGGCCCCCGGGGAAGGGGGTCGGGGCCTCTGCAGGGCCGCGCACCGGCGAAAACGCGCCGCCGCCGGCTGCCTGGGAGACCGTGTTTGTGTAGATGCCTCCACGGCCAGGCCAGATATGGCGCCTGCACCGCTCCAGGGCCCAGAATGAGAGGCATCCCAGATGGAGCCTGAGCAAGAGACAGCTCATTCTGAATCGGCAATCACCCGGGTTATCCAGGGGGGAGGGGAGGAGGGGGCTGGCCGACAACCTAACCTTCGCGCTGTGGGCAGCTCTGCATGTGACCGCGCCGCCCCCCGCCCCGGACCTGCACAACCAGCAAGGTTAGGTTATCCTGGGGGGTTGGAGGGGGGGGTGCAAGCCCGATAACCCGGGTTATCGCCGAACCCAAAAAAACAGTCTCTAGATGGGGTCGAAGGATCGCGCCGCATCGCCACTGCATCGACGATGCATCGGCGATGCCTCGGCGACGTCGGCGACGCATCCGCGACGTCGGCGTGGGGAGAATCGGGCTCCACATCGAGCCGCATCGTCGATGCGGCGCGATCCTGAGGGCCCCATCTACTCGGACGCCGACAAAGACGCGCCAGGCCCGGGGTCATGGTGTGGCTGCCCGCGCGGGCGCAGAACTCCGCTTCTGCTGCTCGACGTGCGTTGCGCTGGGGGGCAGCGCGGCTGTGTGCGCGCCGCAGGCGGGTGCGGCTCCCCACGGTGCTCGACTGGGTCGGCCGCCACCCGGGATTCCCCTATCCCAGGAGAGCCCAACATCGAATCGACAAGTCGAACCGGCGATCGAAGTGGATCGGATCGGCGGAAATCGGCAGCCGAGTCGGGAAAACTCGAAACGGCATTCATCGGCAGGCTAGCAAGTCCCCCCTGAGAAATCGGATCCTAAAACGGAATCCGAAATCGAATCGAATGGGACTCGGAATCCATCGAACTCGAACCGAATCGGCCCCGGATTTCAGTTTTGATAGTCCAGGGGCCCAATAGTCGTAGGTCGGGTATGTCCTCCTGTAGGCTAATGTTGGAAGAAGCATAGAATTAATCGGAAAGTCCTCAATAATACCAAAACAAGAGAACAATCGCCCCCAGATTTGTTTGAACTTTGTTTGAATATTCGCCCTGTAGAGGGACATGCCCGACTTACCAATAGTGGGCCCCAGAGCCACAGAGGCCGAACTCGTGGAAAAGCGCCGGAGTGGAACAGCAATCGGAAGACCATCGCCCCAGGCGGTGGTTATCGAGACGTCGCCCCTGCCTCGGCCGAGCGGGTGGGCAGCGAGGAGGCGACCCGCTTCTGCCAGGCCCGTCGCCGGCGGGGACACCAGGAGGCTGCACACCCCCTGGAGGGCAGCCTCCGGGAACACGGCAACGGAGCGGCGGCGCCCGTGGCCGCCTCGAGCTTCCTCATGGCGGGCGGGGGGTTCTTGTTGTAGTTCCACAGGCTGGTGAGCGTCTTCCTGGGCGGTCGGTGGCGGGACGGCGGCACCGGGACGGGTTGCGTGCGACAGCCGGGGCTGTAGCAGAAGGACGCGCGAGAAGGACGCAAGGGGGAAAGATGTGCCTCACATGCGGTGGTACGATACTGCCCATCACCTCAGCCACCGGGGTCGAGGGGGAGGGGGGCGAGGGGGGGGGGGGGGGCGCAAATCTCCGTGTGGGGGGGAGGAGGAAGGGCGAACTGGTGCGCTCACCCCGCTCACAAGTAGGTGGGGAGGGGGTGCGTACACGTCGGTCGGAGGAAGCATGTGAGAACGTTGAAATAGGAAGGCGGAGGACGCAGATTGGGCCCCGGCCACCCCAGGGAATAACAAAGTACAGCACGAAGCATGCCCATTCTTGAAGCAGGGGGCACGGAAAGTAGGCTGGGATCTGGGAGTCCAGAAATACCCACTTCCCGATGGGAGAACCCCAAAACGACTCCAAGACGGTCCAGGAAGGCCACGAGTCGCAGAATCAGTGTTCCAACTGGCCTCCCGAAAACCCAAGATGCCCTCAAGACGCCTCAAGAAGCCCCCAACAGGCGCCCCAAGAGGGCCTCCAGAGACAAAAATCGTCACATTCCCTTCCGAAAAACGTGCACGCTTAGCACATTCACCTCTTGGGCGTTCACAACGTCCTCAACGGCCGAGAGGCCGTGAAGATCGCCCCCCAAGACGGGCCAAGAGGCCCCCAAGAGGGCTCCCAGACGACCCAAGAGGACCCCAACGCGGCCCAAGAAACCCCCAAGGCAGCCCAGGAGGGTCCCAAGACAGCCCCACGACGGGGCCCAAAGGCGGAACCAAAACCAACATTTCGAATCATCCACCCCAAATCGACTCCAGGGTGTCCCAAGCGCCCCCCCCAGGGAGCCCCAAGATGGTCGCAACAAGCCCCCGAGAGACTCTGAGGACGCCCCCCAAAAGGATCAACAACTGCGTCCAAGACGCCCCCGAGACGCCTCCCACGAGACCCCATCAGCCATCCGAGCGGCCTCAGACCGGCAACCCAAGCACAGTGGAACCCAAGCGCAGTGGCGGGATGCGCCGAAGGCACTTTGATAATCATTCACCGGGTGTTTTGACAGATGCCCTCCGTCTGTATACGTGGTATCTCGCCCGTTTCCCCACGCGCGGCCCAAACCTGCCAGGACCATGACAGTGCAGACGCCGTGTGCAAGCTACGTGGGATGCGCTCACGTGGCACGATTCACAAGACAACAGCATAAAAAAACAAGGAGCGAGGGCCCAGGCTTGAGGAGAACACGGGGGCGGGAACGAAGGGCAGGAGAAGGACGCGTGGGGGTCGAACCATCAGCGCGACAGCAGCAGAGGAAAGGTGGCAAGGGGCAAAGGACCATGCCGATAGTGACGAAAGGAGACCGACTTGTGTTGCTTTTGTCGGTGATACGCCGAAGATGCAGCACTGCCTGCACCATGTCGCCGCGGCGTTTGAACAAATTATTGTAAAACCTGCTCATAGTTAGTGCAAGAACCGCGCAATCGCCGCCGCGGCAGCACGTGCCGGACCTCTTCCCCTGGTTCCTCCTCATCCTCCTCCTCCTCGTCTTCCCCTTCTCCTCTTCCGCCTCCTCCTCCTCCTCCTCCTTCTTCTGCTCCTCCTCCTCCTCCTCCTCCTCCTCCTCTTCCGCCACCTCTGGACCCCTGAAAATGGCCAGGTCTCATCTGAATCTGAATAACACGTCACTCCGCTGCACCCCCCAGCAGCCATTGAAAGTGGCGAAACCTTCGCATATTGAAGCCCAACAAGGACGAAGAGGTCTCCTGGTGGTCTGGGTAAGAACTCACTCCGCTGGACCCCCCAGCAGCCTCCGAGAAAAGCGGTAGCTTCGCAGATCGCAGCCCCACAAGGATGGCGAGGTCTCCTGGTGATCTGGATCAGACGTCACTCCGCTGGACCCCCCAGCAGCCTTCGAAAGTGGCTACAGCGTCGCAGATCGCAACCCAACAAGGATGGCGAGGTCTCCTGGTTGTTTAGATAAGTGTCACTCCGCTGGACCCCCCAGCAGCCTTCGAAGGTGGCGACAGCTTCGCAGATTGCAGCCCCACAGGGATGGCAAGGTCTCCTGGTGGTCTGCGTAAGACGTCACTCCGCTGGACCCGCCAGCAGCCCTCGAAGGTGTCGACAGTTTCGCAGATCGCAGCCCCACAGGGATGGCGAGGTCTCCTGGTGGTCCGCGTAAGACGTCACTCCGCTGGACTCCCCTGCAGCCCTCGAGGGTGCCGACAGCTTCGCAGAACGCAGCCCCACAGGGATGGCGAGGTCTCCTGGTGGTCTGCGTAAGACGTCACTCCGCTGGACCCCCCAGACGCCCTCGAAAGAAGCGACAACTTCGCAAATCGCAACCCCACAAGGATGGCAAGGTCTCCTGGTGGTCCGCGTGAGACGTCACTCCGCTGGACCCCCAGCAGCCATCGAAAGTGGCGACAGCTTCGCAGATTGCAGCCCCACAGGGATGGCAAGGTCTCCTGGTGGTCTGCGTAAGACGTCACTCCGCTGGACCCGCCAGCAGCCCTCGAAGGTGTCGACAGCTTCGCAGATCGCAGCCCCACAGGGATGGCGAGGTCTCCTGGTGGTCCGCGTTAGACGTCACTCCGCTGGACCCCCCAGCAGCCTTCGAAAGTGGCTACAGCTTCGCAGCCCCACAAGGATGGCGAGGTCTCCTGGTGTCTGGGTAAGACGTCACTCCGCTGGACCTCCCGGCAGCCCTCGAACGTGGCTACAGTTTCGCAGATCGCAGACCCCAGGGATGGCCAGGTAGGAGGCAAGCTGGCACGCAGGAAGGAGAGAGGTGAGAGGCAGGAGAGAAGAGAGGAGGGGGGCGGGAGAAGGGGAAGACGCGCGGGCAATTTCCTCCAACACGAATGCGACCCCATCTGCCATCCGAGTGGCCTCAGACCCGCAACCCAAGCACGGTGGCGGGATGTGCCGAAGGGCCAGTCGATAATCATCCGTCGCGTGCTTTGACAAATACCCTCCGTTTCCATACGCGGGTTCTCACCCCATTCCCCATGCGTGCACAGCGAATACTGAGAATGTCAAGCCAAGAAGCCCCTGAAAGGCCCCCATGAAGCCCCCAAAGAGCTCAAAGAACCCCCCAACAGGCGCACAGCACATGAGGCCCTCAGGAGTAACACACAACAGCCGCCAATTCCTTAAGGGGTCGGCGGTGTGGCGTAAGCCTAAGGATCATCATTGTGTTGCGCGGGCTCAAGAACCATAACTATTCTACCTGCGGGGTTATTCATGCATTCACCTACTGACCGCACCTCTTAGACTTCTCCCACGACAGGGCCCGCACAGATCCTGAGGGGCATCGATAGGGGGCGGGACTGGCAGAAGGGGGGGATACATCGACCTGGAGTCGGCGATACATCGCCGATAGATCGGCGATAGACCTCCGATAATGAATCCGCACCTTCCTGGGCAGGCTTGGGCTATCGGGCCCCTATCGGCGATCAATGGGTTATTGGGGACCGACGCTTCCCCCCCATGCCTATCCCCCCCTATCGTTGCCCCCGAGACCCACGCCCGCCGCCTGGCCGAGGCCCCCGGGGACGGCCAGGGGGCAGAGCTCGGCTGGCCCCGTTCGGCAGAGCCGAGCACAGCCCGGCCGAGTTCAGGTGCTGCAGAGCAACAAACAATTAGGTTGGAAATACCACCCTACAGGCGGACTTTTTTGAATAAATTAATAATGCCCCAAAGTACGCAAAAAAAACACAAACAAATCGTCCCCAGACTACTTTGTGATTGTTTTTGGTCACTCGCCCCTGTAGAGGGACATGCCCGAATTAAAGCTACAGTTGGAACCCGACCAGAAGAAACCTTCCACCAGAAACCTTCCACAAGAAACCAACCCTGAGGCCCTCAGGACGTCCATTGCTCTTTGGTGGTGTGAAAACATCACGCTGTCCATGGCGAAACCACCGACACCCAAGAAGCACAGGGCACCCTGGAGGCAAGCAGGGCGCTTCTTGGCAGGGGCCCCCACTGCATCGGGCCTAACTCAGCGACTTATGGGCAAATGGGGGTCCATGCGTACACCCGGGAGCCTCCTCCCCTCTGGGCAAGGATCGACCGTCCCGGCATCCCTACAGGCCGCCTACCACGACATGGTCTTAGATCCAAGAGAAATTCTAATAACAGAAATAATGTTCTTAGAACATCAACTCTATGTGAAAGAACACGACCATCTCAGCCATGCATGTTCTAAGAACATGTCGCGCAAACCGCAAAAGGTTCTTACAACATTGCTTGGTGGGCCTATAGGCGAGCAAGGCCGCTCCGCCTCTGCTTGACCCCCTGGCGTTGCCCCGTGGAGTTCCAGCCCCAGCTCGGCTCTCCGGCGGCCGTCCGTCCGAGGGTTCCAAAAGAGGTGTTCGGGGCCCGGGGAGGGGGCTTTTCAGGGAAGGTCCCCCAGGGGCTTCGCAACCCCTGTTTTGACGAGGTTCCGAAGCCTCTGGGGGGCTCTCTGAAACACCCCCTCCCCCAACAAAAACCCTGGAAACCCTCCAGGTCCGAGACAACGCCGGCACCCCCGGATCGCTCTCGGCGAGGCGCAGCTGCTGGAAAGCACCGCGGGGTTGGACAACCGCCGTTCTTGTAGTACACCCGAACATACAGTACACCCGAACATACAGTACACCCATCTTGTAGTATATCGTTTCCCGAGCGGCGTGGCCAGAAAGCGCCCGCCACGACGCATATATACTGTAAAATTTCTCGGTGCCCGCGTCGCCTCTGGGGGGACGACGCACATATAGTATAAGTATGTTGGGGTGACGCCGATATCATCATAAGGATGCGCGCTGGGGATGGTGAGCGTTTTGTTTTTCGGCGTTTCGACATTGGGCGGAAAAGGGGGGGAGGGGGGGCGGGTCCGGCTCCGGACCTCTGCTCATAGTGCGACTGTGTCGCGACAGTGCGCCCTCTGGGGTAGGGGCTCTGCCCGCTCGAAACGGGCGCTCAAACCAGCCACGATCTACTCCAGGAGGGGGGGGTGCGGGGAGGGGGGGGGGTGCGAGGGCCTGCGCCGAGCGGCAAAACAATGAATACAAACACGATCACACGCAGGGGCCTTGGAAGGCCGTCTCGACGCTCTGCGAGCGGGGCGCGTCCAGCGGAAGTGGCCAAGGATGGGCCGAGGGAGGCAAGGATGCGAGGGCACGCTGGGGAAGGGTGTCGGTCCTTACCAGACTGTAACCGGCCCCTGACCCCCAAAAGTATGAGTGCCAATGCTGGACATACATTAACAGCACTCTGTCGCTATATCTGCCGAAACGGCGTGAGCTACGAGAGCTTCAGCTCCCAGCCTAAGCAAGAGCTTCAGCTCTGCTTGGGGGCGTCGCTGGGGTGGCTCTGCCAGGGAAGGCGGGAAGGGAGGGGGTGGGGTCCTCCATCTGGCGTTTTCTTAATGGTTTGCGCATCCCCAAGATGTTCCGGGGAGTTCCAGGGACCCCCCTCAGACCGAGCCGCCACCGCCCCCAGGACCCTCCCCTCGGCACCCTCCCTGGACCCCCCCTGGGACCCCTCCAGGAACCCCCCCCCCACAGGAGAAGAAAGAGGACCGAAAGAATCGAGGAGGGAGGAGACCACAAAGCCGCTAAGATCACCGAATCCGGTGTCCCCCAGATCGGCGGCACTGGCCGGAGGCCCTCACAAATACACATATATATACACACAAACGTATGTGTATATGTGTCGAAACATACATGCACACATGCATGCATACATACACATACATACGTACATACATACACATACACATACACATACACATACACATACACATACACATACACATACACATACACATACACATACACATACACATACACATACACATACACATACACATACACACATACACATACGCATACACATACACATACACATACACATACACATGCACATGCACATACACATACACATTCATGGACACATACACACGTACGTACGTACATGCATGCATGCATGCATACATACGCTTAATTGTGGGCATCGTCTGCATCGCTGAGCGGGGGGAGGCAAGGATGCAAGGGTACCCTTGGGAAGGTTGCCCATCCTTACCACGCAGGTCGACTGTAGTCCTCCCCCGACGTCGCCCCCGACGCCCCCGGCGGGGCGATGTGGCGGCGGCAGCGGCGCGAGCCAGCCGTGCCCTCGTGGATCTCTGGTCGCTCTTCGCACGGCTGCGTCGTGGCGGCCTGCGCGCAGGCCGCCACGTCTCAGATAGACGGGCTCCGAGGGCACGGGCCCTCCTCGGGCGGGTGGCCATGGGGGGGGTGACCCAAATGGGCCAATGGGGGTGAAGAAAAGGGCACCAAAAGGGGCCCCTTGGGGCCCCTCTTGGAGCCAGTGGGTGCCTAAGATTGGCCCTGAAGGACCCCTTTAGAGCCTGTTCCTTCACCCCCCTTTGGGCCACCCCCCACCACCTCCCGCCCGATCTCCTGGACCCCGGGGCTTTCCAAAGGCCCGCGTTCGGCATCCCGAGCTGCCTGTTGAGCCGCCTCGGGGCATCTCGGACAACCTCGGGCCGTCTGGCGGCCACCTTGGGCTCTGGTGCGGCCATCTGTTGGCCCGCTCTGGAGGCATCCTGAGGTCACCCTGGGCCCTCTCGGGGCCAGCTTGCTGCCATCCTGGACGGACACGCCCGCGGGATACCACTCTTCGGCGTGGACGGAGGGCTGCGCCCAAAGGCCTTGTTTTGCCGACGGTCCAAGGGCCCGTGGAGAGCGGTCTCTGACAGGCCGAGCACGGCGGACAACAGACCTCCGCCGCCCCCTCCCTCCAGGACTCGTGCTTCCCTCCTCTTGCCTCCGCTCGGACGTCCTTTCCCCGTGCAATGTTCGGTTTCGTGCGTGCTTTTTGATTGGAGGCCTCCTAGATGGTGTCGGAGTAGAGGGGGTCGGAGGATCGCGCCGCATCGTCGATACATCGGCGATGCATCAGCGATGCATCGACGATGCACCAGCGGTGCATCGTCGACGTCGGCGATGCACCGGCGACGTCGACGTGAAGCAAATCGGGCTGCTCATCGAGCTGCATCGTCGATGCATCGGCGTTGCGGCGCGATCCTCTGACCCCATCTATGCGGACCCCATCCAGGAGGCCTAGATTTTTCTTGCCAAACGATCCAGGATGCTCTTCGAGGGTCCCCTTCGAGAAAAACGCACACGCCCGAGCGATGCCAAGCTCCCCTCCTGCCGGGAGCCTTGGGTCGGCAGGCGGCTTTGGGAAGAAACATAAAACATACTTCACCATCAAAATCCCATTACACAAAAAAAAACAAATCAATAGATGGTTTTCGCTGAGGAGATCGACCGGGAACCCGGGAGCCCGGGAACCCAGAACCCACCGAAATCGGCCCGGAACCAATGACCCGGGACCCAAAAAACCGGAACTGGGATCCAGGGAACCCAACCTGCTACCAAAATCGGCGGGAAACTTTCGCCAAATGTTTCAACTTTCGCTAGGACCCCTTCAGTGCAAGCACTGAATGGGGCAATTTGCCAAACACAGTAACAAAATAGCAGCAACAAATTGCCAAAACTAGCAACAAGAAGGAGCACTGCAGCAACAAACATCCCCAAATTGCCAAAAACTAATAGCAACCAATCGTCCCCCGACTACTCCCTGACCATTTTCCAATATCCTCGTGCAGAGGGCCATGCCCGACGCAACAGGAACGCGCGCGGGCGTGGCGCGGCGCCGACCGCGCGCGGCGTGCGGGGCGCCGCGGGTCCAGCCCAGCTTGAGGTCGCCCATCGGGTTGTTGCCCTGGCCGCCGGGGGGGGGGGGGCGGGCCGCGCGGTGGCCGAGCGCGGTCGGTCGTGGCCCGTGCTGCCACGATCCGCGACCTCGCGCGCGCGACAACTGCTGCGAAGACGCTCTGCATTCCCAGGACGGCGCCTGCGCCCAAGACGCCCGACCTCAGACCGACTGCACCTGGACACAGACGAACAAGCCAGCAGCTCGGGACGCAACTCGTTTAGTTGACCCAAGAGGGCGTCTAGCTGAAATGGAGTGGTGCACTAGCCTTGCGGCAATTGGATTGCACATGTACTGCGCCAGAGAATTCTACTGCATTGTGTTGAAACGAACGTGCTGAAAGCGAACACCCAGCAATACATTTGCGCACCAAAACGTGCTGCACACCCCAAATCTAATGCAACCCAGCAAATATATTGCACCACATCTATTGTATTCCCCTTTCTCGCTGACCCCCTTTTGGGTCAACAGACGAGCGCCCTGCTGGGCTGGCTTCTGCCCCAGACGCCCTCAGAGGCCTCCAAGAGACCTCCCAAGAGGGCCCGCAGAGGCAAAATTAGCGATTTGTGGTGTTCAAGGTGGTCTAGGTTTTTGGTGTTCTCGCCTTGGAGGCTTACTGGCGCTCCAAGACGGCCCAAGAGGCTTCCAGGATCGCCCCAAAACAGCCCAAGAGGCCTCCAAGAGCGCTCAAATCCCGGAGGGCCCCAAGACAGCCCCAGAGGAATCCAAGATGGCCGAAGAGACTCCCGAGACGGCTCCAAGAGCGGACCCAGACGAGGGACCCTATCAGACATGTCGAGCTCAAGGCGCAGAGAGGTCCCCTGGAAGCCCGAAGAGGCTTCCAAGAATCCCCCCTGAGGCCCCCGAGAGGCCTCAAGAGACCTCCCAAGAGGCTCCATAGAGGCAGAAATTAGCGAACTTCCTTTACCCCAGAGGGCCCCAAGACAGCCCCAGAGGCCTCCAAGATGACCGAAGAGAATCCGAAGACGGCTCCAAGAGCGGACCCAGACGAGGGACCCTAGCAGACATGTCGAGCTCCAGGAGCAGAGAGGTTTCTGGAGGCCCAAAGAGGCCCCCCCAAAGCCCCCAAGAGGCCCCCGAGAGGTCCCAAGAGACCCCCAAAAGGCCCCAAGAGACCTCCCAAGAGGGCCCACAGAGGCAGAAGTTAGCGATTTTGCTTTAATGTTTGAAGGTTTTTGGCGTTCTCGCCCTGGGAGCTTCCCGGCGCTCCAAGACGGCCCATGAGGCTTGCAGGACCGCCCCAACACGGCCCGAGAGGCCGCCAGGAGCGCCCACAACGGCTTCAGAGGGCCCCAAGACAGCGCCAGAAGTCTCCAAAATGGCC